CAGGCAGACACTCTCTTGGGGCTTTTTCCTGGTCCTTTATCGCGGCACTTACTAAAACATGGAATTACATATTTATACACTTGTCTTTTTAACCTTCTTAATGAGTTTTTAGATGGGCAGGGTCCCGTTTCTCTTGTTCCCAGAGATGAGCCCGTGTGTTACATGCTACAGGTCTCGACGTATGTGACATTCATATATGCAGTTCCAACCAAATACCCATTGCAGCTCCACATTCTGTCGAGAAAATGAAAATCAAGCTACCTTTCTCCCATGTTACAAAGTAACAGATCCTTAAATGATCAGAGAAAGAGAGTGAATTCCTTTAAGGAGATGCAAAAAATGACTTAAACAAGATATGGGTCGCCATCGAAGAGTCACTGTGGGCGGTTGGAGGGGGTGGGCATTTTAGCTTGGCAGTTGAGACACCTGCACCCCGCAGCAGAGCTCTGGCTCCTGAGGACAGCTTCCTGCTAATGCAGACTTTTGGTGGAAGTGGTGAAAGCTTAAGTAACTGAGTTCCTGCCACCCACACAGGAGATTTAGATGGAGTTCCCAGCTGATGCATACATGTAGACTGGGCAAGCTCTGTTGTTTTGTTTGTCTTTCAAATAAATAAACTTTTGAAAAATTTATTTTGAATCAATCACTCTAAGTTGTACGTAGATGAAAGAGGGTCCATCTTTTAAAATGGATATTGCAGACACGATGGATGTTCAACTACGCCTCCTGAAACGTTCCTTCTTAACCCTTGGCTTCTGCATGCCTGTTTTGAAAAACAGACCATTCAAGCCATTGAAATTTCTTTGGTCTCTCAGGCCTGCATGGATTGCTTTTAATTTAATATCCAGACAATGTCCAGTTACATTCAACCCAAGCAGAAAATTCTAAATAAGGTGAAAATTTTGCAGACAACAAATAGCACAAAATAATGATGAATATTAAGATCACCAACTAGTATCAGGTTGTTCACACATTATCTCAACGTTAATGCTCCTTTGAGGTATTATTATTATTATTATTACAATTTACTGAATGAGAAAATGGATGTAGTTCAGAGAGGTCAAGTGAGTTGGGTCAATGTCACACAACTGATAGTGACCACGTCTTTCATCTAAGACTAGTGATTTTTCCATTACAGTACAGCTCTCATGGACTTAGGTGGAAGAGCTCTGTAAATGGCAGCAAGTCAGGTGACAAACCAATTCATTCACCGTAGGTACAATGCAAACACTGTGAACACGCCTCGAAGCCGAGTAGATGGCCACACTTCAGAGTATAAAAGAATTGACCATTTCAGACTCACTTTAGTCTTGGCTGCAGGTCAATGTAGTTACAAGTATTGCTGATGTTTCAAAATACAGTGAAATGCCAATCTATTAAAAAGGCAGGAAGGCCACATTTTTAAACTTTTAGTTTCTAACCAGGATGGGAAGCATCCAACCCGCAGGTCATATGAGGCTCCCAAAGTCATTTTTGTCTGGTTTAACCAAGGCAACTGCAGGAGGGACTCCAAGTTCAAGAAATCTATAAATTGTTAACTTGGTAATTTATGGTCCTTGGCGAGAAAAAAAAAAAAAAAAAAGGTTCCCCACTGCCTCCAAGAGGCATTTGTTCCCGTATTCTCATCTGCTCCTTCCTCTCACAGCCTTCTTCAGACACCGCCTTCCACCTCTCCTCTAACCACCACACACACTGCTCAGCCCAGGACTTCACTTTAGTTTTCTTAAGATTTATTTATTTTTATTGCGAAGTCAGATATATAGAGAGAGGAGGAGAGTCAGAGAGGAAGATCCTCCATCCGATGATTCACTCCCCAAGTGACCGCAACAGCTGGTGCTGAGCCGGTCTGAAGCCAGGAGCCAGGAACTTCCTCCAGGTCTCCCACGCTGGTGCAGGATCCCAAGGCTTTGGGCTGTCCTCGATTGCTTTCCCAGGCCACAAGCAGGGAGCTGGATGGGAAGTGGAGCTGCTGGGATTGGAACTGGCACCCATATGGGGTCCCAGCGCGTTCAATGCTAGAACTTTAGCCGCTAGGCCACGGCGCCGTGTCCAGGAGTTCACTTTTCCTCTAATAGAGGACATTGTTCTGCAAAGACTGTGCCAAAGTCACACTCCTTCAGTGTAACATAAAGATACGCGTGAGCCCAAACGGAAAGCACCAAAGCCTTCCTTTCCTCGTGCAGCGCACACGGGACAATGTGGGTGGCATGGTCTATCTTGTCCTGCGATAAAGACCTTCACCAAAGAGGAAGCCACAAGCGTGCATGTAACTTCTCTCGGTCAAGCAGCCTTAGAGAGAGGAAACGGGACTTCCTCTGGGCACGGAACCCTTTTTAACACCGGGAGACACCGGGTGACTTCTCAACTCTGCATCCAGGCAGGTGACAGCTGACACAGGCCAAAACCTCCCCTTCTTTGCTTCTGCGATCCTAGCCTCAATGCCTCGGCCTAGGTGGATCATTCCAGCTTTACCTGTTCCTGATGTCAGGCCTGGGCCTCTGCCTTTTTCACCCCACCCATCCCAGGCCGACTCCTCTCCTAACCTGAGCCCCAAGGAAGTCTCATACTCTCCTGGTGCAAGTTTGCTTCCCACTGCATGCTCACACACTCAAGTGCAAGCTCCCCAGCAGGTTCGTCTCCTCCTTCTGGGCCACCTCCGGCTGGCTCCGCCTCCTCGCCTCAGGGATACGGCTCGGAGGACGCCGGCTCTGCATCCTCCAACATATCCCCCACCCTCAGAGCGCATCTTTCTCATCCCACTCCTAGCCCCTCAGAGCTCCTTCCTCAGACGCCCGCGCAGCCCGGGCTCACGCCCCTCCCAGATCCACGCCCCCTTTCCCGAGCAGCCTCCGTGGTGAGACCCTGGAGCCTCTCCAGAAGGCTCTGCGCTCAGACTCGCGCCCCTCACCTGGATGCCCCTTGCCGCGCCTATCCGCGTCTGCTGCACGAAGGGGTTGGGCACGGGCGGCGGGAAGAAGGACGCCTGGCGGGGCACCATGGCTGGACGCTGCCCCGCGACCCCAGCACCCGGCAGGGTGGCCGCCACGGCAGCCGCCTCGGCGCACCGGTTCATGGTCAGACCCGACCCAAGCAGAGCCCGCGGGTGCTGCAGCGACGACGGAGCGGCACCCCAGGCTGGGACTCTAGTGGGGCGCCGCTAGGGGGCTTCTGCGCAGGCGCCTGTTACCTAGACGCGCTGCTGTCGCCCCGCCCCTGGCCACACCCCCTTAGGCATCTGGCCACGCCCCCTAGAGGTGAATGGTTTTTGCCCTGCAACCTTGGATGAACACAGCATTCCTGAGACTCTAAGGTGAGCCGCTGGAAGCAGACTTCTCCTGTTTTAGGAACCAGGTCGACTGGAATTTCAATCCAGTTTGCAGGTTATGTGATGCTGTCCCCACGGACATCACTGTCTCTGAATGGTAATAAACATTATTCAGATAAACAGAACCTGGGTGTAGCAATGCAACCACTTCCATTAAGTGAACTCATGTGTCCTGGGTGGGTTCTCTGTGCTTGGTTGCTAGCATCCTTTATCTTTGGGTAAGCCAGTTTGAGTTGGGTGTTTAGTTGATTGTGGATGAAAGAGTTCTCATATGGAAACGGGTATTGGAGCAAGATTTATCCCAACTCAAAATCTACGTACTGAAGGGGGTGGCGGTGAGGGTGGGATGGGGGCTTGAGGAGGACGGAGAAGAATCAGTTGTTCCTTTCAGAAAAAAAAAAAAAAGCAGAACAAGAATTGCCCTCTGATAATAAATGAGGAACCAGATCCTGAAAACGGAAACGTCTGGGGTGCCCTGCCTCTGCACCCCTAGGAAGTTAAGGGCCTGTCTGGACCTATACAGCTGGTGGAGGCGGAGGGGGAAGTGGAGCAGCAGCTGGGTTGCTGAGAATAAAAGCAGAGGGGAAAGTCAGCAGGCAGAAGGCCAAGTGATGACAACCAGAGTTTGGGGCCTAGGACAGTCACTCCCCAAACTTCCCCATTGCAGAATTGCAGAATCTCCCAACTGTACAGGAGGGGCGGGTGGCCTTGAGTCAGGCCCCCATCTGTGAGGAATGGCACATGGCTTCCTACAGTGCAGCATCCATAGACAAACACTCCAGTGTAATACACCTGTCAATTAGGCGAAGGAGCAGCTGAGTTTGCTCCTGCTGAAGAACCTTGATAATATCATCACATTTTCATCAGGACACAAGCTTCCCAGTCTAGGGGGCACACTGCCACAAGGGGCAGGCAGACCCGTGTGGCTGTCATTCCAGGAGCTTGATCCAGTGGGCAGGCCATAAGAGGAGAAAAGGTGATTTGGGGTTCACCAAAGTCAGCTCGAGTCTTGTCCAGTCCCCGTCAGCCTCGCCAGGAGCAACAGGCTGAGTGATAAACAGGGCTGGAAGTGATTTCCAAAACACTAAGACCCACCCAGGCCCTACGCGGCTGCTCAACAGTACCTGCATGGTTACTCTACAGAAGGGAATGAGGAGTAGGGGGTCTGGCAGGAAGGGGCAGGCATGTGCCATGAATAACAAGGATACCATCTCTCCCCTGTGTGTGTGCTTGAGGTGGCCTGGGGCCAGTGAGGACATTTGCAGATGGAGATTCTGGGCTGGACTAAGCACGTGGCTCTTCCTTTGGGCCATCGTTTGGCCTTGACCCAGATTCTGCTACCTCATGACTGTGGGCTCCTGGGGTCCCCTTCTCTCTGGGACTCGCTGGTCAGTAGTAGTAGCATTAGAACTGGTATTGTGACACTCAAGAAAGCACATCGTGACTAATCACGGAATGGCTGATGTCTTAACGCTTCAGGGCTCTCTCCTTAGGGGACAGAGGGACTACTGCCAACACACCTGCACTTCTCTAGCTCCTTGCTTTGGCAGCTCTGACCTTTCTCGAAACATCACTTGTGTCCTGCCAGAAGCAGAGATTTGAGCTTTGTTGAGTTTCTTCGTTTTTGTAAGGCTGTGGCAGCTCTGGACTAAGACAATAGCAAACACTGCGACTCAGATGTTATCTTTATTCACACTTGTTGGCACTTCCCAGGAGGAACTGCTGAAGGCACAGAGGGGAGGGCGGAGATGGAGTCAGGACTCAGTTTTCCTCCATCCAGTGGAGGCAGTGACTGGGGAGGGACATCTTAACCAGAGTGAATAAAGCAAGCATCCCTGGCTGGGCTGGGCTGCAGCAGGTGGTGACTTCAGACAACCTGAGCCTCGTGTCAGGAGACGCAGATTCAGAGCGGAAAAATAAAATGATCAAGGGAAAAGAACCGAATGAATACAAAGCAATCCACTAACATGGGGAAGTTTCTAAGGCAGCCAGCAGTGAGAAACCAGGCATCTGGGGTGGCCACCTGGCTGTGCCTTTGTGCCACTGTCCCATGCCAAGCTGTTGGGCCACCAGTGCCCTGCTGAGATAGACCCTGTTGGCTCCGAGGGTGCCGTGAGCCACAGACGGTTGTGGATGGAGATGGAAGTGTGGCAGCACCAGGGCAGCCCAAGGCAGGGCTGCATGGAAAATACCCAAATATCTTTTTGAAGGTGGCTCTGAGGGGCAGTGGGGTTGGAGGGGGAAGGGACACCAGGGAGGGGAGCAACCAGCACCTTTCCTTGGGCACAGGGCAGAGCGGCCATCTGGAATCTCAGATGACCAGGAGGGGGCGAAGTTGTGGATTAAATGAAGGCGCAGCGGCCAGGCCCGGTGGGGCCCTTCCCTGCGCCTGCGTGTTCAGGGCCCGCTCAGCAGCCCAGCCAGTCCGTTTTGATACTTCCAACCTTCACACTCTTCAGACTTTGGTTCTCAAGCTTCAGGTAGTATGTGTCCTTGAAGAAGTAGCTGTGTCCTGAAAATAGAAGAGAGGCTGTGATCACCCCCATCCTGACATTGTGGGATGCAGAAGGTTCTAGAATGTCTGCCTGGTGTAAGCAAGAAGCTCTTAAATCAGAGGAGACTACCCTGCAGGGCTGGAAGCGAGGAAATGGTGGAGAGGGAAGGCCTCTCAGTTCTTGCATGTTCATCTCTAATTTGGGGATAACTTGGAGCTAAATTACATACTATCTGCCATTATTAATCCTAAGCACCATGCCCCACTTGACATAAGCACCAGAATAAAACTTTTCCATATACTAGAGACAGCAAACCAGAAGGCTTCCATGCCTATTGGGTCAACAGATGAGTTTACTTGATTCACATAAGCTGTTTTGTTTCTTTTTTTCTTTAATTCTGATTAGGTTGCCAATATGTAACTGTCTACAAAATCACATGAAAATGCAGGTCTCTGGATTATTTGTAAAACAGCTGGAGGGGTTAGTACAGTGGCACAACAGGCTAATCCTCCACCTAGCAACACCAACATCCCACAGAATGCCAGTTCATGTCCTAGCTGCTCCACTTCTGATCTAGTGGCCTGAGAAAGCAGCAGTGTAGCTCAGGTCCTTGAGACTCTGCACCCAAGTGTGAGACCAGGAAGAAGTTCCTGGCTCCCATCTTTGGGCCAGCTCAGCTCTACAGCCACTGGGGAATGAACTAGCAGATGGAAGATCTTTCTCTCTCTTTCTCACTTGTTTGCTCTCTCTCTCTCTCTTTCTCTCTCTCTCTCTCTCTCTCTCTCTCTCCTTCTCACTCTATAAAGCCTGCCTTTCAAAGAAAAATAAGTAAATCTTAAAAACATAACTGGATGACTGAGGTTAGCATGATGGCTTTCAAGTTCATCCTCTGCCTGCAGCAATGGCATCCCATATAGAGGTCAATTTGAATCCCACCTGCTCCCGTCCAATCCAGTTCCCTATCTATGGCCTGGGAAAACAGCAGGGGATTGTCCAAAGCCTTGAACCCGTACACCCATATGGGGAAAGCCTGAAGAAGCTCCTGGCGTGGCTTCAGATCGGTTCAGCTCTGATCATTGCAGCCATTTGGGGGAGTGAACCAGCAGATGAAGATCCCTCTCTGCATCTGTTTCTCCATCTCTCTATATAAATCTGCCTCTCAGATAAAAACAAATGAGTTTAAAAAAAAAAAAAGGTAACAGGCAACTGCAACACTGAGCCACCCATTCTTACAGGCCAACAGCTGGGAAACAACTGGCTCCTAGAAATTATCTATGTACTCACTTGGCCACAGACACCAACATTCCCTGCCACCTGCTTATGCCTACTCTACTCATTTGTGCTGCCTGCCTGGTCTGTAGAACTTTAGGAATGCATGACTCCTGAATCCATGAGCTCACAGACTTCTTTTAAAGCCCTGGTGCCCAGATATTTATCCTTGAATTTTGCAATCCTTAACCTCACACTTGACAGCACATTGCTTTTTCTTACACATGTTAGAACTGGAGTCACAGGAGGCCTGGACTCTGAACTCAGCCTGGGATAGGGCCTCAGCAAACCTTGGTGGATTTGAACTGACATCTCTTGTAAACAGCCAAGCTGAACTCCTTCTCAGGGCCCTGGAGAGCTCAGACCAGCCTCCAGGGGAATACAGCTTCCCAACTCTGCCTTTCAGCCTTGCTGATCTGGGAGACCTTTTATTCACTAAGGGAGCAGGGCAAAGAGTGGGAGAAGAGGGGGAACATTGCCACATGAGCAACAGCCCATGACAGAGTAGCCTGTCTCAGAGCCATCCTCCTGCTAATGGGAGGCCTCTGGCAAAACCCGAGGAGGCCTGGAATTAACCCCAGGAGAAATGAAGGGCACGAGGCCCAGGTTTCTTGCCCCTATGTCAGGGCCCCTTCCCAGCCCTGGCTCTGGGCCCTGCAGCTGTCAGGGGCAGGAGCCTCAATAAATTTTGCTGCCTGGGGCCCAGCACAGGGAACAGAGGTCAGGGGTCTGGATGCTTGCCCAGTACCGGGCTGAAGGGCTTGATTTGTTTCCCTGGGGCACGGCATGGTTGCTGTGCACAAAGAGCAAGTGTATGCTGGCGAGGAGCTGGGGCTTGGCGAGGGCAGGGAGTCCTAGAAAGCGGGGAGAAGCTTGGGCTACTTACCACCGCCCTGCAGGTCCACCACAGCATCCAGGTTATCAGGGATGGCATTCCAGGCATCCGCGATGAGCCGAGGGAAGCCAGGGTCCATCTTCTTCTTCACCTCATTGTATCTGTAAGACGTTGTACATGCCAATCCACCAGGCCTCCTTAGGGGCCTGTCCTTCCCCTACCTGGAAGGACCTGCAAAGCAGACTTAGTCCTTTGGGGGTTTAGCTGGCTATTGTGGAACTCAGACCTGGATCTGGACCCTAACTACATTCACTAATCACGTGACTGTGGACAATGCCCCAAAACAGCTTTAAGATGACTGTTAACATTTGGGAGTGCCTACTCCATGTCTAACAGGGTGACAGTCTCTTTCCATATACCTTCTCACTCAGTCCTTACCACAATGTTATGACCCGTTATTGCCGTATACCCATCTCACAGGCTAGAGACTCACAAAGGACCTCCCTCAGCTTCTAAAGTGGTAGTCTAAGCCAGACTCCAGGGCTCTAAGTTGCACTTGGAACCTCAGTTGTACCAGCTGTAAAATGGGATTGCATTTACTGTAATTCATTGGTTTAGCCTTGTGTGGGGTCCTGAGTAAGCTGCAGGCTGAAAATGAAGAGCCTTCGGAGTCCTCAAGGGTTGGAGAGCCAGGTGGGGGGGTGGGGAAACCTGCTCCATTGGTCTTTCCCTGTACGACTTAGACTCACTGCTGCTTCTCCAATGTACCAAATAGAGATGCATGACATTTTTGTCCTGGGAGATGACCATGGCTGGCAGTGAGGTGACATGGCAGGTAGTGGCTGCCAGCCCACAGTCTGTCAGTCCCAGAGTGTTAGAACTGTACCCGACAAGGTGCATGGTTACTCTGGGTCCCACCTTTAATTCCGGCAAGCATTCAGGACACTTACTGGAAGGGTCCCTTCCCTGATTAGTAACACTTCTGTCTTTTCAGGGTTCTGAAAAATGCTTTAATGAATATTGCTATCATTTAAAAAATTTTTTTCACTTCACTTAAACCCAATGGATTCACTGTTGTATAAACACTTAACAAGCTCTCAGAGGCTACCTGGACAAGCTCAAGTTTTCATGGCACTGATTTTCTGGACAGAGCTACAGTTGAATTCTACCTTGGTGGCTCCAAGCTTCCTTCCACATCGCTCCTACCTGGCTTGCTGTTTGCCTACAAAGCCACGCCGCCACCAACCTGGACTATCACACCAGCCTCCACGTGGGCTCCCTTCCAGCGCAGGCGTCCTGTGTCTCTGCCCATCACCCCAGGAACTGCCAGAAAGGCCTTCTTTAATCCCAGCTGCATCCTAAGACAACTCCTTACAAAGCCTACCATGCTTCCTCATGACCTGGGGCACCACCACTAAGTTCCCCAGATCAACACCAACATCCTCTCCAAATCCCTTCTGACCCGTGACTCTCATCCCTATGGCCATGACGGCTCAGAGACAGGTGTTTCATGCTTGAGCCCACCCTTGTCTCATTCTCATTCAGCTTCACAAACATGGGAAGGACATGAATGAATGAACCTCACTGGGGCTGAGATTTGGCACCATCAGTGTCCCATTATTACAGTGCAGTTCCAGTCCTGGTTTTATTCCCAGTTCCAACCTCATTTTATGCACATCCTGGGAGGCAGCTGATGACGGCTCAAGTGCCTGGGCACCTGCCACCCAGCAAAGCACTGCCAGCACCAGAATGCACTTGAGCACGCCCCTCGTATATGGGCACATGTGCTTGCATGCCTGCATAGGCAGATAACGTAGGAGGAGAAACAGGTGAACTGTGGCAGTCCTTCCAAGGCCACAGTTCAGAAGACCTCAGGCCTCTTTCCATGCCAAGTGCAGTTTCTAAGATTCTGTCCCTACTGCTGGCCGGGACTCAGATTGGGAGGGTCCAGGGCCTGCGATGCTAAGATGCCACGTGCAGCCAGTGCCTGTGTCAGGGAGGTATCCAGACACTGGGAGCAGAACGCCCAGTCTGTGGCTTCTAGGCTGACTGCTTTCCTCCTCAAGGCTGGAGATAGCAATCAGCAGAGCCAGCAGAGAGCCTTAGTAACAGGTCTGGAATTCCACCCTGCCCCTGGCAGGCCAGGGACAGGAGCAGTTTCTGACTGTAAGGCAGCTGCCAGTGGGGGGCGGAAAGGAGGAGGACAAACAGGCCTTGGGGAAGGAAGTGGGGATTTTTCCAAAAGGGGCAGACAAAGGCATCGGGCGTGCCCTGTTGGTAGCAGTTCCTGGGTGGGGCACAGATGCTGTGGCAGCCACTGAAGGAACCCAGGGACACTAGGAGGGAGGAGATGCCAGAACACCCCAAAGGCTTTGGTGTACAAACCACCCCTTCCGTGTGGATCAAATGACAGGGCAGTATGGCGAAGAGCACACAAGACAGGAGCCACAGCTAACACCAGGCTCTGTGCTGACACTTCTATGTTTCAGGAACTGATAATAAGTTATGCAACATAAGGTTGTAGCAAGCTATTACAATACCCTAACTCTAACCCTAATCCTTTCGTTTCTTTGATCTCAGTTTCCTCATCTAGAAAGTAGAAAGCATTACCATCGAAATTCTGAGGTTGGGGCTGTGTATCCTGCAGCTTGGCTCCTTGGCACCTTGGCTGGGACTGTGGCCTTTCAGAACAGGGTCCTTGCTTTTGGGCAGTCAGGGGCGCAGAGCCACCTGCTTCCAAACTGCCCTCCTGCCAGTTGGTGCCCACAGTCACTGAGCCTGCTGCAGGCCTTCTTGGCATTTCACCCTCTGCATTCCCTGCCTCCTCCACCTCCATCTCTAGGGATTCCGTTATTCCTGATACCGAGTAAGTAAAATTTAGCATGTAAGAGTCAAGCCCCAAACTGTCACTACAAGCGGCGTGATTTCAAGCTAGTTACTTAACACTTCTGAACCCAAGTTTCTAAATCTTTAACATGGGAATAACAATGCCCTTCCCATAGAGCCCCTAGACTAATGTCAATTCATAAAGTCAGTCTTGGTGGTGATTATTTTTATGTTCCCTTTACACAAGGAGTCACCCCAAAATATGCATATGGATGTGGGCCAGATGGGCATGACTCAGACAAAAAACTCCCGAGAAGGGAACAGAGGTTATAACCACAATTATACAGCAATGAGTACAGAGCTGGGGCTTGCCTATGGGGACTTCTCAAAAGGCTGCAGCCTTGGCAGGCTGAAGACCAGAATGGGGCTACCCATGGCCCCCCAACCTCTGGACACATCCCAGGAGACATGCCACTACAGGGCTGTGCCACCAGCCTCACCTCCAGAACTTGTCTCCAGCAAAGATGTATGTCTTCTTGTTCTTGCTCCAGTTAAAAGCAGCATCCACTCGCTGGACATCAGGGGGCAGCCCCAGGCTGGTCAGAGGCTTAGGGTACCCTCGCTCCAGGGTGCTAGCTGAATAGACCCAGTACTCGTTGCCTGCAGTGAGAGTAAAGGATGTGTTGGTGGCTGATGCTGAAATCTTCCACTTCAGCCTGCCCCCCAACATCCGCCACTGCCCTTGCATCTGCCACCCAGAGGACCCCACTGTGAACAGAGGGATATGTGGCAGGGGCACACACATCAGCTATGCAATCCTTGACCTGATGACTCACATCTTCGAGAGACTCGTTCTGCTAGCATTCATGCAATACTAAATCTTTCAAAACTTTCATTTGACTGTCTATCATTCATTGAAAAACCCACTTCCATCTTGGTTTGAAGTGACCATCCAATCATAACTGTCTATGACAAGGAAAACACGTTTCTGTACAATAATAGTAAACCTAGGGGCTGATGCTGTAGTGCCACTTGGGACACCAGCATCCTGTATCACTGCATCAGTTTGAGTCCCAGCTGCACCATTAGCTCCAGCTCCCTGCCAAGATGCTTGGAAAGAGAGACTTGGGGAGAGCTCTGGGCTCCTGGTTTCAGCCTAGATCAGCCCTGGCCCATTGTGTCCATGTGCAGAATGAATCCACACATGGAAGAGGTTCTTTTTCCTCTCTCCCCTTCCCTCACCTCTCTCCCTTTTTCTACTCATTCGTAAACATATTTCTAAATAAAAATCAGGTTTTAAAATCTCTTACTTAAAGTTGTTGCCTGTCAGATACTACAAAAGTGGAAGGAACACATCAGCAGAAAAACAGATTTTTGCCTTCTAGGGAAAGGACCTGGGAAGCTTGGAAAAGAATCAGAGGAAGGGAAAAATGTCTACTTTGATGCTGGGGCTTTAACCAGTCTCCAAGGTGAATCCTACATTTGGGTGGGTGGGGGCACTATGTTCAAAGAACAGACCCCACCAAGAAGAGGGAGGTGCACAGGGCACATGGGCTTGGGTAGTAGGGGGACCTGGTCACACACAGGAGCCCCGGGGTACAACAGGAGTATACACCCCCCACACACACACACACCTGCAAAGAAAACAGCCTTCTCCTCCTGTGGGGCCTCATACACGGCATCAATCTTTTCGGGGAGCTCAGGCCAGAATGTGGCTACCAGCAGGGGTCCCATGGGCTTGTCCCGTGGTGTCACTGTCCGCCAAATGAACCTGGAGACGGGAAAGAGGAACGGAAAGCCACAACTTGAGTCACTCTGCAGCGCTAACCACACATGCCCTCCCAAAACCAGCAAATAAAAATGAAACAAATAAAGCAAGATCCAATGACACTTCCATGATGGGAGGTCAAGAGACAACATGAAGGTTGGAGAAGGACAACAGAATGAGCGGAGTTCCCTCTACACCTGTCCGGTGGAGAAATGACCCCCTTGTTCCCCTTCTCTCCTCTCCCCAGAAGACAATCCTGGCGACGCCCTGCCCATATCTCAGTCTCAAAATCACCAACGGTGAGTGTATGGAATGGCAAGGCTTTCCTGTTTCCCCTCCTGCCCAACTAGAAACCGACTGAGGCAGGATCAAGGCATCCTCCAGCTTTTCCCAAACTGGAATGGAACAGAAATGGCACTTTGGCAAGAGTCACGGCAATCATTTCTTGAGGCCGAGCACGCCCTGCGCCTTGTAATTTAATCTCACAGCATGATCATGTGCACCGTTGGTGTTTCTCCAGTATCTAGTTGCCATTTCCTGGCAGCCTTCCTCACACAGCTCCACCTCTGTGCTCCATCCCTCTCCCTCCCCTTCCCCTTCCCTGGGAGCCCAATCCCCATTCTAGGAGCAGACCCTGATACATCCAAACCATGTGGTCCAAGTGTGTCCCTTTATCAGCTGTATCAGCAACCTTGTAAACTGGTTACCAAAGCAAATCATTGAGATCCTAGCCTCTCTAAGCTAGGGACTTCAAAGTTGTGTTTGCATGAACCTTCCAGAGGATTCCAGCACATGACAAAGTTTGAGAACTCTTGGACCGAGCTGACCAAAACTTAGAATTCCCTGGCAACTATTACTGATTCATTAGTTTCTATATGACTTAATTTGGCAAGACAATACTGGATAGATAAGTTAGCACTTCAAGTCTAGGGAATTGTGCAGGAGAGGGTCTCTCTCCCTCCTCCACTGGATGTGAATAAGGGAACTGCAGACCCAGTTACCATGGGCAGACATTGTGTGACTGCGGATCTGCTGTGGCAATGAAACCAATGTACAAAGGCAGTCAGTAGACAATGATATCAAGTCACCAACCCTCTTCTTCTTCCAGAAGGAGGATGTAAGAGTCACTTCTCTCCACTGTTTAAGCTGCTTGGGATTTGTTGGGAAGACGGTTATCTCTGTTGTATGCAGTGACCCATTCTGTGGGTCCTGTATGTGACCCATACAGAAAACGATCATGCCCCTCCTCTGGGCAAAGCAAGCTGAGAGAAGCGAAGGAACCGTCAGGATTCAATTCTAGATCTGACCACAAAGCCCAAGTTGAATCGACCTGTAGCACTGTCCTTGTCCCCCCAACTGTCCAGAGCCAATTTGTGCACATACTCACTGTCGAAATATTTACAGATTCACTCGATGAGTCCATCAATAACATCCATCAAAATCGATTTCAAAGAAGATGTAATGTGACGGGTGCCCATTCTTAGGCCCCCACTTCACAGACGCCAAGACTGTGATCAAGGCTCCCTTTATGGGAAGTGCTCCAGGCTAAATGTACTCCTGGGCAGCGGGGCCTCAGTGGACTTCTTCCTCATCTCTGTTAACTGGCGCTGTGGGGCCATGTTATCACACATCCTGATTTCAGCATTCAAACCCTGCTGAAACTTCACTTCTCACATCTCGAGTCTAACCTCTTTTGCTCCCCACTGGTCACAGACCCCATGAAAGGCAAGACATTTGCATCGTAACCCTTGGAGGAGGTCCCTCACAAGTTCCTGGGCCATCTTCCAGCCTCCTCTGGCTCTCTGTCCCTCCCTGTATAAGCCATGAACCGTAGTACCCCTATGGCTTTCTCTGCAGACCCCTACAACTTAAGCATTCTGTCCAACTTTCATTACTGCCCAAGTGCCTGGTATCCTTGACTGCCAACATTTTGCTCATGAATGCCTCTGCCTTCATATTCCCTTCACTCTACCATGGTTTACTGTCAGTCTTCTGTGCCTCTGTTTCCCCACACCATGCTGGTGATGGGTATTGGGATCCCTGGAGAAATCTGCAAAATGCAAAAGTCAATTGATCCCTACAGGATCCAGTCACGGGGCTTGGGCCTGGGGACTAAAGCCAACTCCTTTATCACTCACTTGAATTCAACTTTGTCCATGCACCCATCTTTGAAAACACTGGCCCCAATGCACCATCCTCCCTCCCACAACTCTCAGAGCCTCATAAACTCCTTGGCACAGTGGACACCAAGTAATTATTTGTTGATAATAACAATGAATGTGAATTCACTGACTCAGTGTCAGGCACGATTCCAAGCACTAAGCTCATGTAATCCTCATGTGAATCCAATGAGATAGTTGAAATATTAGCCTCGACTTAGAGCTGAAGAAAAAAGGGACTGAATTAACTTTCTTGTAATCAAGCAGGTCAGATATTCCAATCCAGATGGTCTGGCACCAGGATCCATTTCTTAATTACCACACTCCATCCATGGATGAATGGTTGAGTGGATGGGCAGTTAATGGACAGACTAAAGAGTAAGCAGATGCAAGGGGAATGGGTGAATGGCTAGACCCTTTAGTGCAGTCCTAGACACTGCCTACCATTCTCCAGAGGCCTAGGGCAGAAGGGGAGACTCAGCTCTTGGGTCAACTGTGTAGAGACCTTTATCCATACCTTGCAAGACATTGCTTTCCTCTATGCTACCATCACTTGCTACACATCCATACATACCCACACATATATACATGGTGAGTTGGCCATTTGAGGTTATGGCTGTTCCAGGAGAAGGCCTGCGGTAGACTGGTTTATTATTCCCAATGCTTGCTTTCCATTGCTACCTTGGGATTACACATCCCGGTGTGTGGGTGTGTGATTTTACTGGCCCGCCCTTTAGGACAGGTATTGGGCTTGGCTGTGTGATTTGCTTCAGTCAACGGAATATGCTCAGACGTGATTTGAGTGTGGTTGAGGTTGGCTCTTTGCACCCTGTAATTTACCACGAGTAGCTGCTAACTCACCCCAGGAGAACGGACGACATGCTAACATACCTGACCCTGAACTGTAACTGGAAGCCAAGGTCCCTGATAAACCCATGGACCATGGGGCAGTAAAAGAAATGGTCGAGTGCTGGCCACCTGCGAGTGGGAGTTGGGAAACACACACCAGCAGCACCCACGATCGGTCATCCGTGAGGCCTCCAGCAGGGACCACGAGAGCGAGGCTGGCAAGAGGACACTCACCGGTCCTTGAAGAAGAAGATCTCACCACGGATCTGGGCAATGCCGTCGAAGACAATGTCCTGCTTGCAGATCTCAGGAGTGACGGGCCCCAGCGTGGGGGTGGGGCCAGTGCCAGTGTCCACATCTGCATCAGGGGAGGGCCCTGGGGAAGGACACCTGGCTTTATGCTCTCCCCTACATCAGGGCTCCACCCCGTCAGACTCTCAGCTGGACCCATGCTCACTATATCCCTGACAGCTGTTGACCATGCCCATTTCACAGGTGAGGAGGCTGAGGCCCAGAGAGGCCAAATCTCTCCAGAGTGCAGGTTCTTATGTCCACAGGGGCTCATGTGCAGGCCCATTACTAAGGTCAATAATGTTTCAGGGTTAATTCCTCTGCTCATGGTGGCCAGTGGCATTACAGCATTAACACGGACCTGGAGAATTCCTTCAGTCTCTTGTAGCCTGTGGGCAGGAGTGCCAGCACTTGAACCAGGCACCTCTTTCCTCCAGATCTCAGGCTCATGCTCAACTCCAGGGTTCCCCAAACTTATTCACTCAGGTACAACCTGCCCCCTGTTGGCCTAGTTCAGGTACCACCAGGATCTATATATGCAATCTCTTTCTTAATGGAAGGAGTTTTTACCCTTCAGCCTCACTGAAAGCGCTAAACACAAATACTTTAATGGTTTCAGGAACTAGGTATAATATTCTCCTACACACTCAAATAAAAATACATTATGAAAATGCAAAACTTCTACCCCCCCTGAATCCTTAAGGTCATTGCACAGGATAGGAAGGTCTACTCTGTCGTTAACTAACTCACTGGGTTCTAAACCCCTCCCAGTTGGCTTAAGCTCATGTGACCTTGGGTCAAGACCTTTCCCAGAACTCAGTTTATCGGCTTAGAAATGGCAGCTGGAAGAGGCATGGATGCTAATGTCACCTTGTTCAAGTACTGCCTTGCTATACCTCCCCGACTCTCCAGGGCTAAGTCAGCACTGCCATCACCCCATCCTCGGCTCCAGTGGTCCTGGGTAAGTGGGACCTTATGGGGGCTTCCCTCCCAGGCTGTAAAACTGCACAAACCCTGCCCCAGGCTGAGGTTTACCATAGAGCTCTTGAATGCCCTTAATGTCGTCCTGTGACAGGCGGAAGTTCTTCGTGAAGGTATAAATGGGCGCCATCAGGGCCCCAGGATCCTGGGAGTGCTCCAGCCCCATGGCATGGCCAAACTCATGGGCTGCCACAAGGAACAGGCTGTAACCTGAGGCGGCGGCAAGCAGGGGGAAAGGGGGAAAGGAAGAGAGCGGAGATTGGAGTCAGGATCTGCTTCTAACCAAACATTTCCAGCAGCAGTGGGGCCAAGAGTTTTCCCTCCCCCGGGGATTTTGGGATAGTAGGTGTGTAGAGATGCTCGCAGGCATCTCTTGATGGAGTGGGACTCCCTTGGGAGAATTCTCTCTCTGGGCAGTGCAAGCTACGCTGCAATTTGGACATCTGTTGGTAATAGCAACCTTGCCCGGAAGGGGATGAGATGGAAATGAGTGCTGGGACAGATGATGTCTTGTTTTGGAGTCTGGGCCTCTGCTGAGATGGGTGGGGCCTATCCAGGGAACCTGTCCTTGACCAGGGAAGGGACTCCTCACTGCCCAAGTTGGAGGGACTGGGGAAGACAGTACCAACTTGAGATGGGGTCTGAGGAAACATTCAGAACTTTAACTAAAATTTAGTTATGTAATGCCAGTATTGCAGGAAGTAGGTTGACTTATTGGATCACAATATCAGCCCCTTAGTTTGTCTATTGGAGTTATTATTTAAACAAGCTCTGGTTGGCAGGCAGTGACACCCTGTGTCTCTGCACGTTGGCCAGGGCCTTGTACCTTGGTCAGGGCAGAAGCCCCACTTGCGGTCATCATCATAGTTGGTTGAGGTGGCACACCACATCTTGCCATCACTGCGGCCCGCGCTGGTGCAGCTCTCGTACTTGGTACCCAGGAAGGTGAAGGGGAAGACGCAGGGGGCGCCCTCTGAGTTCCCACCAATAGTCGACATGGCTGTGGGGTGAGGGACATAGGTAAAGGGGCAGAAGGGCCTGAGACCACCCACAGGAAGCAGGCTGAATACTGGTTTCCTCCTAGCCCGCCCCTTTCACATGCAGTCGCCCTGCGCAGCAGACTGAATGTGTCACCCACACGTCCTGGGTAGGGAAACTGGAGCTCAGGGAGACACCAGTCTGCTAGGACACCAGTCTGCTGGGAAGTGTCAGGCTCAGGCGGGTCGAAGAGCTTCCACCATCAGCCTCCAGGGGGTGGGGAGAGAGGCCAGAAGGCAAAGTGGCTGGGCAAGGCTGACAGTGACAACATCCTCCTCCAGGGGGCGCACCTCATGGGCCGATTCCTGCAGAGACTGTCCTCTGTAGTTTAAAGCAGGTGCTCAGTAAACACCAGGCGGGGGAGGGGAGAGTGCTAATTGGAAAACTGACACCAGAAGGTGGTGATAACTGCCCAGGAAAGGCAGGGGACAGAGAGCGTAGGGCCAGAAAGGGAGAGAGAGCGGCCCTGTCAAGAGGCTGAGAGACCTGGCATTTTGGCATCAGTGTCTGTCCTGAGCTTGGACCACCCCGTCCCAGCTCTAGGTATTGTAACCACCAACCTTGTCCTGGAAAGGGAGGCTGCTGGAGGAGGGGAACAGGTTTTCTATGGACAGCAGCAGGGCAGGGGAGGCTGTAACACTCACCTGTCTCCGGGCAGAAGCCGTACTTCTTGTCCCGGTCGTAGTCCTCCGTGGTGCCACACCAGCGGTAGCCGTCTGTGCGGCCCTCTGTGGTGCAGCTGTTATAGGATGTTCCTTGGAAGCGGAACGGGAACTTGCAGGGCTGTCCATCGGCGTTGCCACCCATGGTGAACAGGGCTGGGAGAGAGGAGACAGGGCAGGGGAGCGCAGCTGAGGGCCAGACACCTGCCCAGCACAGGGTCTGCTGGCCTCCCACCTACAGGCTCACAGCAGCAAGTTGAAGGCTATAAAAACCTCATTAAAAGCTATGAAGACACTGAGCCTGGGGTTCAATCATTTTTGCACCCAAATAAATTCACCTCTTAATTCCATTTTCCCACGAACTTTCTGAGCGCCCTTGCATTGTAGTCATCTCCACCCTCCCATGAAGAGCTGCTTCTTGGACCCCCTACAGAGGATGCTTATCTGGCCAACCCAATCAACAGACACCAGCCATGACATGGTTAACACTCTGTACTCAGCAGAAGCCTCCAGTTCCCAGTCCCAAGGACCCTCTGTCCATGCTGCCTGGTCCACACCTACACCATGTGGCCTGCTGACTACGCTACTCATGTGGGCAGGACAACAGGAGTCTCATTCCATTTCACAGATAGGGAAACTGAGGCATGGAACAAAGTGGGCCTGTAAGTGAAAGCCTTGGACAAGGATCATAACTAAAAACTAAAATCATCACCCGATGGCGATCTCTCCCTCACTGTCTTCCCCATATAAATGCAACAACACACACACACACGCACGCACACACACACACACACACACACACACACACACACACACATCTTCGCCTCCTTTCCCTCCCAAAGCTCCTTCCTGGATAGCCTGCTGCGGTCCCTGCAGGAGGGACACAGCATGAAGGAAAAGGAACAGAGAGGGTAGGGAGCTGAGCTTCGGCAGTTTTGAATCTTCAATTCAGGATCCTAGTTTGACCTCAACTAAGAAGGGGGTCAGGACAGGACAGCAGGGGAAGGACTCAAGAGTCTGGACTTGTCTGTCACGGGTTCTTGTGCTCCCCCAGCCCCTCATCCACCCCAAAGCTACAAAATGGTGTGTCTCTGCAACTGCCAACTAGCAAAACCACAAGTGCGTAACAAGGACCATCTGTGCACTGCAGAGCCAGAGGTGACCTCACCAGCCCCCGTTAACTCCACCATGGCCAGCATGGAGCCCAGGCCCTGGCTTCCGGCCACAAGTTGTGGGGCTCCCATCTGACTGATCCCCTCTCCTACACCCATGAAAATTGGTCTTGAAAGTCCATACACAGACCTGAGGAAGAGGCAAAACTGAGTTCAGACCACTTGGTGGCCTGAGAACGGGGAAAGGCAGTGTTAACACAGTTCGAGGCCAGCCTTCCACCTCTGGCCTCCCCTCAGTTGTATTTCTACCACCCAGGGAGCTCGTATCTCCCCTTGGACCACTCCCAGCGAGGATGGCCAGGATCAGACATTGACTCAGCAGTCAGGAGGGGCTGAGTAATAAGAAACTGCTAATACAAGTGTGTTGTGCATTCTCCTATCTGGCTAAAGACCAAGGCGATGGCTAGTGGCTAGGGGAGGAAGACACCTCTCCCATACTTAAAAGCACTGCTGTTGCTGTTAGACCTTTGACTGGCACAGGTACTGTCTTCTCATCAGAGGATCTGGCTCATGGAAGGGTTAACAGCACCTGATTCCCTACTGTGAAATGCAAAACACAGAGAAAGGTTTTATCTAAAGCATTCTGACTTATTAACAGCCAATGGCTTGAACTCTTACCTAATATGAAGTCTGGTTTGGGTAATAAAAGCATAAGCAGGAAGACAAGGAATAGCTACGCGTTCCTCTCCTTGCTTCATGATGGCTGGTATTAAGTTACACACGGATTCAGCGAAATTCACAATTATCATCCAAAACCCAGAGTATTTATACTATGGGAAAAGGTAGCTCTTAGACACGTTACTAGACTTACTCCTGTTTTTCCTGGATTTCCTGGGTTTGTGATCTAAATTCAGCACAGCTGATGCCTTGATCAAGAAGTTTCACAGATATCGTTTTATGAGTGGCAAGTATGAAGTATATCAAAGATGGTGTTCGAAAGATCGAGGGTGAAAACTTCGATTGTCAATTTATCAATTTCACCCCATGATGGCTTTATAATCTTTGGAAATGTCAAGTCTCAAACACTGACAATCACACACACACACACACACACACACACACACACACACACACACACACAACTACTAAGGCAAGCCAAACGCAGAGATACAGCCACAGCGAAGGGACAGAAAGGCACACACAAGATGGCACAGTCCCCCTTCTCCCACACACACACTCACCTGTATGTGCATGCACACACCCGCTCATTAGCAGTCCGCATGAGGAGAGGACCAATGGCTGACGTTGGTTGGCCTATCTGAGCCAGGTTGGATATATCACGGCACTATGAGTGCCACCTCCCTCTCCCACTTCTCAGCTCCCCCATCCATCACCAACTTTCTCCTCATGCCCTTGGACCTCTTGGTTGCAAGGTACAGAGTGGTCCTAGAGAGAACCACTACGCATGTTAAAGTTTAAGTTAATTCTAATAGGCTTCAAAAAACAAAACAAAACAAAACAACCAGTAAGCAGACTATGGCTTCACATATAGTAGTGCAAAGGAAGATACTTTGAAAAAACTGAACTGATTCCATAAAAATATTCTATAAACAATGGTCCTGATCGGGGCTCTTGGATCTGATGAGGGGGTGTGGGGGTCCACTAGTTGACCGGCAGTGCCAGTCCTGGTGAGAGTGGAGAGTAGGGATGTAGCGGAGCACTCAAGAAGGCTGGAGGTACAATAGAGCCTGGGAGTTGGGTGGGTGGGAGTAGACACTCACCTTCATGCGGGCAGAAACCGTACTTGCCATCCTTCTCAAAGTCATAGGTAGTGGAACACCAGAGGAAGCCGTCACTGCGACCGGTGTCCGTGCAGCTGTTGTACTCCTTGCCGTTGAACAGGAAGGGGAACTTGCAATACTCCCCGTCTGCGTTGCCATACTTCACACGGACCACTGGAGGCGGGGGTGACACACAGGATGGAGGTGGGATACTGCCTGCATTTCTCTGGCTATCGGGATTCTCACTCACTGAGGGGTGTGACTTCTCCCTGACCCCACCGGGACCAATTGAGAAGCCACATCCTGGTTTTGCTAGTGACAGGGAGCATTCAGAGGGGCAGAGAGGAGGCCTGGGGTTCGCAGAGGGCCCTTGCTTACCTTGCCCTTCTCCCAGGGTCCACAGCTCATCATCATCAAAGTGAGAATCTCCCCCAACACCAGTGCCTGGGGCAAAGGCATGAGCCAGGAGTCCGTCCTTGCCGTCAAAGGGGTATCCATCTCCATGCTCTGCAACACACACTGGGTCTCAGTGTCCAGCATTGGGACCCATGCATGCCTCTCAACATGCGTGGAGTCCTGCAGTCCACCCTCCCCGTCCCACTGGGTTTATCCAGGGTAGGAACTCAGTAGAGCTTTCTCGACTCGGTTTTCATCACACTATGGTCTATATCACTCCTTCAAGACCACATGGCACCCAGTACTCACACCATCTTGATTCAATGGCTGTATCACCAGCAGTGACACCATACCTACACATACAGTGTCATACCAATGCCCTCACCTTGAGTCAATGCGTCGACCTTTCTTCCTTCAAACCACACCCCTACCTTCATGCCTTACTGTCACCAAAATCTACAGCACCGAACTTCCGGCCTACTTTGCTACGAAGGTCCATCTATGCTGTCTGCCCTCATGTACACATTGTTCCCCATGCGATGTGCCTCATCACACCACCCAGTGTCTCGTCCGAGCTTCATGCCTTATGCTACAGCCACCAACTCACGCAATGATCCTGCGTTCTCCTCCACTAACTCTCAGGTCCACCCTGCTGAAGCTGTGTCTGCTGCAATCCCCCGGGGAGGTACCGGGGTCATCCAGCAGAATTTCCCATGATGTCACCAATATTCTTTATCTATTCCAGCAGCCTTGTGTGGCTATGTAGCCAGTGGAACCAACAGACTGAGTCTTGGTGTTTAAAAACTAACATCAGTTTCAATAGTCACATGTATCTATTGGCTACCTGTTGAACAAGACAGCAGATCACTGAGTGGAGGTTTGTACCCAGTTACTGCATGGTACATGTGGCTGTCCAGCCTTACATCATGTTGGATTTTCACCAGCTCCAACGTCTGCAACTTCTGCTCTTGTGTCTAAGCTGCCCCAGGATGCCTCTCCAACATCTTTCTCATCCTCTTGTCCAACCACTAACGCTCACCCCCGCAAACTTCTCGTCTGCCTACCCCAGCGACCAAAGTTGATCATGATGTCAGCTTCTCCGTCGTGGATGCGAGAAAACCTCAGTGGGGTCACGTCACTCCAGACTTGGAAGGCACGAGCAAAGGCGTCATCCACTGTCTCCTGGTCCAAGTCAGGTGTGTAGCCGATGATTCTGGAGGAGGCAGAAAGGCAGGTGAGCATGTGTGCATGTATGTGGATGTGAGTGTGTGCCAATGTGGAGTGAGTATGCACAGTGTGCAAGTGTGTGTGGGCACATGGGGGTGCACACGTGTGAGTGTGCAATAGGAACATGCGCATTCATGTCAGTGTGCACATGTGCATGTGTGTTAGGGTTCACTGACACAATAGCCCTCCCACAGGCTAGTCAATAGCTTCAGGTCCTCTATCAGGAAGTTTATGTCTCACTTCAGGCTAAGGGAACAGGGATGGGAAAAAAAAGTGCAATATAAGACACAGAGCCAACATCTCACCCTTGGAATCCAGGGCCAGCTGTGCAAAGCAAAGCTCAGCCTAATTAGCCACCAATTATGACCCTCCATAAAATTTCAATTAGCAGCCAACCATCAAGTTTCCTCTGCCTGCCCCAGTGACTAACATTTGTGACACTCTTGCTGTGTGCCAAACACTATAGAAACCCTTTCTGTAGCGGTGATTTAGCTTGTTCTCTTGCCAGCCCCAACAGGAAGGGTCTGGGATCCCTACTTTGGGGGTTGACAAATCAAGGCTCTGACCACTGAAAGATGGGTAGTCTGATGCCCCATGGCGCTAAAGCTGGAGACTGGCATCCAGATCTGATCCTATTGCCTTAGAATTCTACGTGCAAACTTCCCAAGATGTCAAGACCCCACCAAAGATCCCTCACAGATCTCCAAGAACACTGAGTCCCCCTCATCCCGATGGCCCCAGCTGCCCCAGCCCTGCCTTGTCACCTGTATGTGATCTGATTATTTTCCCACTTGGGTTTGCGTGGAAAGAAGTTATAATTGGCCACATCCGGGTTGCCACAGCGTGGCTTCCGCATGGTCTCAATGGTGTTCTGGTCAAGTTCGCCTGTCTGGGGCAATCCGAAGAACTTCTGCATCTTCTTGAGCGTGTCCTTCAGCACGAACAGGTTACAGCTCTCCTTGGGGCAGCCGTAGAAGGTGTTCAGATATTGCTGCATGAAATAAGGGACCCCAAGAGAAGCATCAGCTTAGGATGACATGGTTGGGACCAAGCAGGTGCATCTACCCTCCGAGTCCAGACACAGCATATCTTAGGGGTGCCAGGGTGCTGGCTGCAGTTCTCCAACCGACTCTGACACCCCATTGGCTCTAGAAAACACGTTACCGCCTGTCGGTGCTACGAGCTCACTCTAGGCCCGCGTCTGTATGTTTTTAACTCACTTCATTCTCACAGCAACTCCATAATGTAAATGCAATTATTCTCCCCATGACACAGCGTAAGAAACAAATGCAGAGACTTTAAGAAACTTGCCTAAAGTCACACAGTTCACAACATCCTTCCTTTACATCCACCATTGTACTTATACACCTAACAGATAGAGACTTAAAGCAACTTCTTAAAAAAGAAAAAAAAAAGTGGATTTTATTTATTTGTTAATCAGGGTGATGGAAGGAGGGAGAGAGAGAATAAGAAAGAGGACGGTTTTCTATTCACTAGCTCACTCCCCAAGTGGTCATGCTGGCTGAGCCTGGGCCAGGCCAAAGCCAGGAGCCTGGAGCTCCAACCCAGTCTCCCAAGTGGTGGCAGGGGCTGAAGCCCTTGAGCCGTCCTTCAATGCTTTCCCAGGAGCACTAGCAGAGAGCTGGATTGCAGTGGAGCAGCCAGGACTTCAACCTGCATTCTGACATGGGATGCCAGGGTTGCAGGTGGCAGCCTTAACTTGCTATGTCACAATCCTAGCCCCACTTTTTAAAATCCAGAGTCAAGGGCTACATGCATGGGCTCTGGAAACAGACAGAAGTGGGTCCAAATCCTGGAACTGCCATTTCTAAAAAGAAAGTGGGCCTGCCCTTTGGGAATCTGCCCATATCCGGGGCCAAAACCAAACTGGCCCCTGGAGAGAACCTCTGGGGATTCAGGAGTGATCAACCAATTGCTTAATGCAATAAATCCTTTTTAAAATAAAGGTGAATTTATTTATTTATTTATTTATTTGAAAAGCAAAGTTAGAGAGAGAGAAAAATGTCTTCCATCTGATGGTTCACTCCCCAAATGGCCTCAATAGCCTGGCAGGGTCACATCAAATTCAGGAACCAGCAGTGTCCTCTGGGTTTCCCACACGGGCACAGAGGTTCAAGCACTTGGGCCAACTTCCAGCGCCTTCCCAGGATCATGAGTGGGGAGTTGGATTAGAAACAGGGCAGCTGGGACTCAAACTGGCACCTACGTGGTATGCCAGCATCGTAGACAGTGAAATTACCTGCTACATTACAACACTGGCCCCTCAGCGGGTTCTTTTTTGAGAACCTGACAAGCCCTGTGCTACATTTTTGGGATACACTGGTGTGCAAAATGGAAGTTGCTAATCTCCGAGGTTCAAATCCCAGGGCAAGATGATCTGCTGATCAAAAATCAATGCAAAATTAGCTCTGTGGCCAGTGCTGCCTTGGAGTGACAAAAGGATATAGGAGGTTTGATGACAATGGCCCTGATCTTGCTCATAAGGGGTATACCCCTTATGAGTTCCATGTAATAAAGGCTGGTGCTTGCTGTGTGCTGGTTCAGGTACTCTTTCAGGCAATGGATGTGACCTCTCACCGCATCTATAGATGAGGAAACAGGGACTCTAAGGCCAGTCGGTTCCTGCCTTCCTCCTTGGAATTAAACAGGCTCCACCCCAGGATTCTTCTGTTCCTGGGTTCCCAGCAATGCCCTCAGGGAGGTACCAAACCTAAAGTTCAGCTCTCCACCTGCCACCCACAGCACCATTGTGCAGGTCAGATTCAGCCCCTGGGAAAAAAAAAAACAGCCCTCTAAAAAACTGCAGGAAGCATCCCTTATGTCAAAAGAAGGGGCAAATGTGGAGGCATTTGTGTGGCGATGCTGGTATCATGCCCCAAAGGAGATCCCATGGCAGCCAGGAGACACAATTGGGAGGAGTATATTCAGAAGGTGAGAGGTTTCTCTTGTGGCAGAGGCAACACGAGTGCGCAGGTAGTCTGCTGGGAAGAAGACCTGGGGAGCTCCGAGGCTTGAAGCGCCCACAGTGTCCAGGGCAAGGTCGGACCTCGGACCTCCAAGCTTGACTCCTGTAACGCCAAGGGCCAGGACGCCTCTGGAGCCAGGCGCGCGCACGCTCTCAAAACAACATCTGAGCCGCAGCTCGGGACCTGGGCCAGGAGGGAGGACTGGTTGGCTGCTCTCCGACCCGAGTCTGGCTTCAGCCGCCCCCGCCCCACGCGCCAGGGCCTCCTGGCGCCCGCCCATCCCCCCTCACCCGCCGCCCCAGCGCTTGTCTGTCCTCCGACTCCTTGGAACAGTTCAAAGAAACTTTCCGAAGCCTCACTCAGGACCCTCGCGGCCAACGCGCCCTGCAAAGATGGGCCACAGATGCGCCCTCCCATATTCGATGGCTTGTGGCGCGGTGCTCTGGAGCTGTTTGGTTTGGCTGGCGCCCCTCTCCAGCTGAATGCCAAGTCCCTCTCTGGCCAATCTCACGTGTGCAAAAGTTTACCCAAACTGGGGTGAAAAGGGTTCCCGTTAGCTGCTTGTCATAGATAGGCCTTGCCAGGGGTCCACTGCTAACTCCCCAAAATGCGCTTAAAGCCTGCCTCCCGGCGACCCCTCAAGGAGCCCTTCCCGGCCTCTTGCCAAAGCTCCTGGTTCCCTGCTCCGCTGGATCTCACCGCCCTACCGCGCATCGTTCAGCCAATTGCCCCCACCGTTTGCATACAGATCCCTTCCATTGCTTGCCAAGGACCCACGAAGCGGTTGGCGGAGGCCCCTCCCCCCACGCCCTGTGCCCACTCTGGAGGCTGGGGGAGGCCCTTATTCTCCTCCGAAGTTTGTCTCAACTTGGCTGTTGAGGCCCGGCACAGCAACTCACCACCGCCAACTCTTTGTCCGTTTTGGGGGCGACATCGCCAGGGAACTTGATGATGGGCGACGGCGGGGCGACGGCACGGCCCAACAGGCAACCCAGGACGCAAAGCGCCCGCAGGAGGCCGGAGAGGGCTCCCGGGGCCACTGGTGCCTCCATCCTCGCGCTCCCGGACTCCCCGCGGCACCCGGGGGTCGCTGGCTCCGGTACGGGTGGCCGCGTCGCCGCCTGGCTGACGCCCGCTCCGCTGCACTGCTGGGTGCAGAGGGTCCGCAGGGGATGGGTCGCCTCTCCCGCGCCAGGCTCAGCCGCTCACGCTCCGGGACCGCGCACCAGCCGTCGCCGCTACCGCTGGTTCTCGCAGGTCTTGGCAATCCCTTTGTATATTTAAAAGCCCAGATGCAGAGCCTCCAGGCTACGCCGGAGGAAGTCTGGATGCAGCGGAAACAAGGGCGGGCGGCCTCCAGATGTGGCCGGCTGGGCTGGGAGGGCGCTGGCAGCCTGGGGCGGGGGGAGGGGGCGCGCTCGGGCCCGCCCCTCTCCGCCCCACCCCCCACTCGCCTCCCTCCTGGGTTTTTTGTTGTTGTTTTTGTTCACCTTCGCTTACCACCACCCCCCATCCGGCTGCTGGCTACCTCTGGCCTCGGCGACCACCTTCGGTGCACCCGCTGACCAACCCCAGTCCTGGCGTGCAGCCTGTGGACCCCCTGCCGGCAAACATCTGGCGCCATGGCGCCGGGGCCTGGAGCTTCTGGGGTTGGTGTGGAGGGGAACAGCTGTGCTTTGAATGAAGCCCGGTACCTGCGACCCGGCTGGGGTCAGGGATGGGAAGGGAGGAGTGCTGAGACATCTTTGGTAGGTGTTTGGAGACAGAGGCGAGGTGAACAGAAACGGAACGAAGGGAAGCAAGTGAAGTGACGCTCCCCTAAATCCGCTTCCTCTGTCCCCCTTTCTTCCTTCTTCAGATAGGGGAGTTTGCCCGACGCCATAGACAGTGCTAAAGTCACCACCGCAGGACTCCTCCAGTAAACACCCCATTCCCTTGCAACCTGCCACTTCTGAGGTCAGCAGGCCAAACCCTGATCCCCCGCAGGCAAACATGACAGGACACCTGGCAGGCCGGAAGAAGCCTTGGAAGGAAGGTGCTGTACCACAGGTCACAGGTCACAGGCCACAGGAGGTTGTGTTTCTGCCCAGGAGGTGGTGAGCTGAGCAGGAAAGCGCCTCTAGTATCTTCAGACCCCCGGGGGGCCTGGGGTCAGATGGATATCTGAGCATCACTTCCGATGCTAGCCGGAGGCACAAGACCGGATCCCTTGCTGTTCCGGTTCCCTTTTGGTCTGGCCCGGCCTGCCTCGCCTCAGCTAGTACTGCCTCCTTCAGTCCCACGCTGCAGGGAAACACAAACAGCTTTTCCTCATGGAAAACCCAAGGAGTCTGGGAAGTGTGTCTCTGCTTAGCTTCAGTCCTTCAGAAGGCAATTAAATCAGGGACAAACTGTGATGGCTAACTCCAGGAAGGCTTCCTGGAAGAAATGACTTCCAAGCTGAGACCTGCAGAGCTAAAGGGGTGGGAGTGCCGGGCAGGGGGTGGTGAGGCGTGTTTCAGCCACCAACTAGGAAACCAAAAGAAGTCCCCTTAGTTGGGATAGGGCAGGGTTGGAAGACGCAGTCTGGAGCCAGTGAAGGAGTAAGGTTAGGGATAGGAAAGATGACCAGCAAGCTGCATGTGCAGGGCCTGGGCACTCAGGGCCGTGCAGCTGGACTTCCTCCCCAGAGGCCTGGGGAAGCCTGGGCAGCAGCGTGGGGGCCCCATGGGCTTCAGACAAGTACGGGCTTGCCCAGCAGGCAGGCAGGTCGGCTGGCCTGTCAGCGTCCTCCAGGCATGGCTGGAGGTGGGGCCCTGGCCCTCTGTTGAGGACACTGTGAGGCCGGGTAGGGGTGCAGCCCCGGGAGGGGGCTCCCTGCTGGCTCACGCCCCTCTGGCTCCCGTCAAGCTCCCTGGATAGTCAGAGAGCCAAGTGGGAGTGCCGAGCACTGGGAGTGAAAACGGAAAAACTTGTCTCAGTCAAACGGGCCTGCGGGGAACGACGGCCTGAGCGGTGTTTGGAAATTTGGGAAACTTCAAGTAGAAATCTGGCTTTCTAGTTTCCTTGGAAAAGTTCCTGAAATTCTGACCAGCCGGGGTGCCAGTTTCCTAAAGCCCTGGCCAGCCTGGGATGGTTCCTGGTGGCCACGTGGGGCCGGAGCTCAGGGATGGCTGCTTCCTCCGGAGGAAGCGTGTGGCTGCTTTGCTGCGATCCGCACCATTCGGTGTTGCCACGCGTGTGACTCGTCCCGCTCACTTCTGTTCATTTGCCTGGCTGGAGTCTTAACCTTTTCTGAACAGTCTTAGGGCAGATCTAGACTTTGGCTTTGGGACCCCTTGGGCAGGGGCAAGCTTTGCTACCCCTCTTCACTGCCACTGTCATTCTGGGCATTGCAAGGGCATTGGTGTCCAGTGCGGGTGCTTGGTGCCCATTTAGAGGCCGTGTCAGCAACAGAAGCGGCCCTCAGTGAAACAGCGACTTCTGTGTCCAGCATAGCGGGCACAGGGGTCATCTGGAGCTCCCATAATGCGTTTGATGGGGGGTGAGGCGTACCCCGCCGCCCTTGTGGATGCCCTCTGACCTCCCCTCCTTGCCCCACCCTGTCCTGCCCTGACCTGCCTAGGTGAGTAATCCTGAAAGGCCTGTGTGGACCTGGCAAAGCCACAGGATGCACACCACCGTTAGACCATCTGCTGATCTACATGTGCAAACAGGCCGCCTCCTAAACCGCCACCACCACCTGGGGACTGGCATCTTTCAGCCAGTCCCAATAGAAATGGGGTGTATGCCCTGTGTCCCCTCAAAGGATCTGTGCAAGCCCCGTGCCCAGGTGTTTGCTCTCAGTGGAACCACAGCTTGCAGATCCAGTGGGGAGATGATGAGGTTGTGGGGATGAGTGCGAGCCCAGGCCAGTGAGAAAACGCAAAGCTGCATGCAAAGAGCCAGACAGGGAGAGCATGGAGGCAGAGAGGGGAGTGAGGCCGCTCCAGGGCACCAGCAGGCCGGAGGGACAGGGCTGGGCCTCTCCCTAGAGGCAGCCAACCCTGCTGAGACACTGATTTTGGACTTCCAGTGAAATTGCATTCCTGTTGCTTGAAGCGGCATGGCTCGTGGCCGCTGTGTTAGGGCAGATCTAGGGCGCCTCACAGGCTGCAACTGGAAGGTGCTGGGGCGTGGTGCATATCGCACTTACCCAGGAAATCTGCAGGGAACACCGTTCCAGGAGCTGCCACCGGAAGACTGACTTTATCTTAACCGAAGGTCAGAGGTGACACGAGATGCTGCAGGTGGAGACAGGACCGTGGCGGCCAGGTGTGCTGCCCCAAGCCCCCGGTCTCCCTGCTTGCCTTAGGTATCCCTTAATTCGCCCTCTTGGGGAACCACCTTGCTCTACATCTAGCTCTCAGAGGCTCCTGGCCCCACGGTGGCTGTGCGACCCAGGCAGGCCTGGCAGGTGTGGACGGCCTGGGCAAGCAGCAGCTGAGAGAGGAGCGCATGGCTTTCCTGGAGTGAGAAGCCTCCCACTGCAGGTAGCACAGCCTTTGGCTCTCCACTGTCAGTTGAGCTGCTGGGATGTCAAGGCAGAAGCCCCTAAAGACAGTGGCTCCCTGAGGTCACAGTTCCACCACTGAAAGCAGAGGCAGGAAATGAGGCCCAGACAGCTTCTGGTGCCAGGCCTACCTGATGGAGGAAGGGAGTAGAGAAGTGTTGGAGGATTGTCAATAACCCAGCTATGCGCAGTCACGCAGCCCCACACCCCACGTTCTGCTGTGTCAAACCCAGCAGGACTTACAAGGTCACGCTCCCCATTACACACCTGACCCGGAACACTGGGGCCCTGCCCCCAACTCTGCCTTCTGGGAATATTCATTAGGTTCTGTCCTGAGGGTCATGCCAAGTCTGTTTTTTTTTTTATATTAATTTATTTTTATTTTAAAGGCAGAGTTACAGAAGAAGAAACAGAGAGGAAGAGAGAGAGAGAGAGAGAGAGAGCCTTTTATCTTCTGGTTCATTCCCCAAAATGCCAAAATGGCCAGAGCTAGGCCAGCCTGAAGCCAGGACCCAGGAGTTTCATCAGGGTCTGCCACGTGGGTGCCAGGGAGTCAAGCGCAGGACCATCTTCTGCTGATTTCCTTGGCCGTAAGAAAGGAACTGGAACAGAAGCGAATCAGCCAGGACTCGAACCGGGGTCCCTATGGGCTGACAGCATCATCGGCTCCGTTACAAATGGCAATGCTCACTTTGCCCCGTGGTGGCTTGCACTCCTTCCTGAATGCGCACCTTGCAGTGTCTTTAAACGAATCCCCTTGGTCTGCGCCTCCTCCTGGAGTGCTTTCAAGCAGCCTGAAAGGAGTCAGGCCTGGGGAACTCTCTGCTTTGCAGCACAGCCACAGCTACAGGTCCCACGTGGTCCAGCTTGCAGCATGGAGCTGAGCTTTCCTCCTTCTGGCTCCAGCTGTCTGTGCATCCCAGGCAGGGTCAGGTTGCCCTGCAGGGAGCCCCACGAGCCAGCCCTGGCTCAGGTCCCTGGAGTCCATGGTGTGGAAGAGGCTGCCACGGGCAGTCAGGGGGACAGATGGCTGTGGGGATAAGGCTGAGCACAGCCCAGCTTACTGGCAAGGGGATTACACACAGGGCCCCGGGGCAGGTGGCAGAGCAAGGAAAGGGGAGAGAGTTAGGGGGTGGCACCCTGTGACCCTGTGCCTAGAACCATTACTGGTCCAGCCTGGCAAAGCCACAATGCACCTTGTGCCCTCACTGCAGGTGACAGGTCTCACCCCTGCCTGGCTCCGTCTCAGAGCGTGCTGAGACCCTAACACCATGTTTTCTCCCACTTGATTGACACTCGGCATTCATCTGTCCTGCAAAGCTCCCAATGCTTCATTTCATCATTCCTTAAAGATTTATTTAATTTTACTGGAAAGATGGATTTACATATAGAGAGAAGGAGAGACAGAATAAGATCTGGCTGCTGGTTCACTCCCCAAGTGGCTACAGTGACCAGAGATGTGACAATCCAAAGCCAAGAGCCTCTTCTGGGTCTCCCATGCAGGTGCAGGGTCCCAAGGCTTTGGGCTGTCCTCCACTAATTTCCCAGACCATAAGCAGGGAGCTGGATGGGAAGTGGAGCAACTGGGACATGGACCAGTGCCCAAATGGGATGCTGACACTGCAGGTGGAGGATTAGTCTGATTAAAAAAAAAATAAAAACACACAATGTGCTGGCTCCTTGTGTCATCATTTTAAAAAGTATTCTTGGGTGTTTTATTTACTCAGAAAGCAGAGAGACAGCAAGAGAGGAGGGATGGGGAGACAGACAGACAGACAGTCACTTCTCTCCCCAAAGACATGCC